CTACTGCTTGGATACAGGTTTCAGGGCCTTGACTCCTGAGCCATCTCTGGCTTTCCTTTGGCAAAATGGTCAGAAACTGTTCTAGAATCAGAAGCTCTAGGATCTGCTCTTTTGTGTGTCTCTCTGGCCTCAGCCATCGGTAACAAAGTTCCTGGAGTTGAGCACAAACCTCCAGTGGACCCTTGGCCTCTGGATAGCAGAACTGCCTGAAGCGCTGGCGCCATGTCTCTGCAGTGATATTGTATGTTTTCAAGATGGCCTCTTTCAATGTTTCATAGTCCTTTACATTATAGGCACCCAGGGCAGAGGTGATCCGTTCGATGCTTCCATTGAGGGCTGGTGCAAGCCGGGTCACCCACTCTTCTCGAGGCCACTGACAGGCCTCAGCCACCCGCTCAAAGGTGTCCAGGTAAACCTCAATATCATCCTGTGGGGTTAACAGAGGCGGCTGCAAGTTGTTCCAAGCTGGGGTTATGGGAGTTTGTAGCACTTTGGGCTGTTGGACTTCCCAGTTCTGAAGTGTTACCCTTTTGGTCTGTTCCTTTTTCACAGCTTGCAGCCCCAACTCCAAGAGTTCATCAAGGAGAACTGCCCTTTCTACTTTTCCACCGTGGAGGCTTACTTGAGTTTCTTCTCTTTCAATGTTGTGCTCTAGCTGAGCTTGGAAGGAGAGACCTTCAACAAGCAGCTCAGTGGCCATTTTGTTTTCTACGAGATCATGGATGGATAGCCTAAGCTGGAATCTTCTCTGAACTTGGGACTTCAAGATAATTTCTCCAACTCTTCCCTCAATCGATATAGTTCATAATACCCGGCAAAGACCTGTAAGCAGCATGTCACGATCTGAGTTTGAGCTTTGGTTTGAGGGTGGGAAAATGTGTGTTCACCTAGTGCTGGAGAAAATAAAACACTCAGGGGTGGCCAAACTTGCTTAAGATAACATCCACACAGAATAAACGTCAGATGTCTGAGAGCCACAAGATATGAACAAATATTACACACACGTTTTTACTGAAAATATGCAAATTTGCTTTTTGTTAACATTAAATTAGACTGTGTGAAAGAGCCGCATGCAGCTCCCAAGCTGCAGTTTGGCCACCCCTGGACTATATCAAAGAAGTAGATCCTCTTCCTTATGAAGAGCGAAACTTCTCAGTCTAGCAAAAAGATAAACTAAGCGAGACCATGATAAAGCTTTATAAAATTATGCACAATCTAGAGAAAGGGGACAGGGAGATAGCTTTTTCTCCCTCTCCCATAATGCTAGAACTCAGGCTCACCCAATGAAGCTGATGGGCAGTAGATTCAGGACCAACAAAAGGAAGTATTTCTTCACATGACACACTATTAACTTGTGGAAATCACTGTCACAGGATGTAGTGGTGGCTACTAGCTTTAAAAGGGAACCAGACAAACTCATGGAGGGTAGGTCCATCAAAGGCTATTGACCAGGATGGCTAAGGAGGACCTCCACATTCAGAGGCAATGTACATCCGAATACTGCTTGGGGTCATTAACTGGGGAATACTTTGGCTTCTGTGGCCTGTTTTAGGCTTCTCAAGAGCATCTGGTTGGTTGCTGTGGAAAACAGGATGCTGGACAAGATGGTCCCATCCAGCTGGACTCGTTTTATATACTTCAGTGAGCCAAAGTAGCAGTTATGTTTTAAGGAAGCTGAGAGAAATAAACCTGGGGCCTCAGAGGTTTTGCTCTTTGCTCTGGGATGCTGCTGCTTGAGGGCTCATTTCCTACCCACTCAGCCTGTATATATTGTAAGTTAAGAGATATTTTAAAATCCCTTAAGTGTCCAGCACTTTTCCCTCCAAAGGAAGATGTCCTTGAAAAGTTGTTCTGGCAGTTCCTCCTTTCAGGACTTTTACCGAATCATGGGCCAGCTGCATAACTTATTCTTAATACTTTGAAGAAATATTATTTATTTTTTGATTTATTTATGATTTTGATTTGTATCCCACCTAGCCACAGGACTGGCTCAAGGCGGCTAACAACATTTAAAACGCTAAGACAATAAATACATTAATAAATTAGAACTACATAACCACTAGGTAGTACTAGTAATAATGGCAATGAAGCTGGTGGCATACACTAAACAAACAAAGGCAATAAACAACTGCTGTTTTATGTGGTCCAAGATGTGTTCCGGCGGCACCGACGTCTGTGGCGCTGTCTCCAGTGGCCCCCTCACCGGTGGTGGCTCCTAATCGAAGGCCTGGTGGAAGAACTCCATTTTGCAGGCCCTGCGGAACTGTAAAAGGTTCCACAGGGCCCTAATGTTATCTGGGAGCTCATTCCACCAGCGTGGAGCTACCACCGAGGAGGCCCTGGCTCTAGTAGCAGCCAACTTGACGTCTCTCAGGCCAGGAAAGGTCAGGTGAGTCTGTGTTCCTGACCTCAGTGCTCTCTGGGGCACATATGGGGAAAGACAGCCCCTCAAATAGGCAGACCAATGACCATATAGGGCTTTAAAGGTCAAAACCAGCACCTTGAAGCGAATCCAGTAAGCTATTGGCAGCCAGTGCAGTGCCTTCAGGACAGGCTGGATGTGGTCTCGTATGGTGAGACCCATCAACAGTCTGGCCACCGCATTTTGCACTAGCTGCAGCTTCCGAATTTGAGACAAGGGCAGCCCCATGTAGAGAGCGTTGCAGTAGTCTAACCTCGAGGTAACCATAGCGTGGATCACTGTTTCCAAGTCATTGCATTCGAGGAAGGGAACCAACTGCCTAATCAGCCGCAGATGGTAAAAGGCTGCCTTGGCAGTGGCTGCTACCTGGGCCTCCATCGTTAAGGAGGCATCCAGGAGCACTCCCAAACTCCTAACCCTCGGCACTCAGATCATGTACAGTTATTTTGCGTCAACACTGAGTACAACCAGTCTGTTCTCATACCCATCTGGTGTCAGAGCTTCCAAGATGGAGGGCAAAACTGCTGGGTGGATTTGAACCCCCCCCCCAGTTCTCACTAACCCCTGAACCCCAGTTCAATTGAGCTGATGTGTTCTTCGTGGCCCAAACAAACTTGGGCACACATTGCCCTTGGGGGAAAATACAATAATTAAAGTATCTTGTGACCCTAAAAAGGAGGCTGCCCACTGTGCCTGTTCTGGCCTTTTTCTCCTTCCAGTTGGCCTTCAATGTGGGTTACTCATTCTGCATCAGGTTTGATTGGATCATTCACTCATTCATTCCCAATGCAAAAGGAAAGTAAAATGTCTTACCTTCAGAGCTCATTGCATCTCTGCATGTCCCTGCTGACCTTTCAGTCTGGTAGCACAGTCACTTGTGCAGAAACTCAGAGGGTGCAGATAAGGCATACTCTTATGCCTTTTGTGCTTTTAATTTTAATTCAGGGAAAAGGAACAAGTCTCAGCTGTCAAAAGTTTAGGAAATGTTGATGCTGGTTGTTTTGATGTTTAACTTCCATTTCTATCCCACTTCTCAAAAAGACCACTTGTTTAGTAAAGTTCTCGGTGAACAAGGAACTGTGTTTCCAGAAACAGCTCATAGGTTTCAGACACCCATCTCCAAGAGGAACCAGGAAGGAGGAACGAACAAACCACTTTGCTCCGAGACTGCAGCCCAGTTCCGCATAGCTTTAAAGAACAACATCAGTGTAGATTAGAGAGGAAAACAATCCTCCCTTTTATGGACAACTAAGGACTGCAGAGACACCGGACAATTAGAGTTGCCAACTGGCCTCACTCTTGTGCTTTCCGCTACAGTCTGACACCTGGAAGGTTAGTATACGAGGCTTCATTTGTGGAATTTCTGCAAGCCAGGCTAACATTAAAGGCAGAGGGAGTAGACAAGGGAGCAGACGGGTGGGGAAGAATCTTTTGCACAAAAGACAGGAGATCTCATTTGCTGGAAGAAGGAACTGAGTGAGGATCCTACCATATGCCAAGCGGTGAAGTGCCTTGGCTTAAATGAAACACAGGGAAAAAAATTGTGGTATGGAGTGCAGACTTCAGCCCCAGAATGGTTATAAAATGCCAATACTCAGCTCTAGAGCACGGGAAGCAATTGTGTCAGAAGAGTGACTTGGAGCATGTGCAGATTGCCCTTCCTTCACCAGGAAGTCAGTGTAAGGAGCCCCCTCTGGGGTAGCCACATGCAAGGAAAGCAGGGCTCCCGCGCCAGCTTTGAGCCAGCAGGGTATCATGGTTTAAAATGCTGAGCTTCAGCAGGGGAGACCAGGGCTCAGTTCCCTGTTCAGCCACGAAGCTCATGAGATGGCCTTAGCCTGGCCATTCTCTTGCTGCTTAACCTACTGCATATGGTTGCCGCGGAGATTTAAAAAGGTGGGGTGGGGAGAAGAGGAGAGAAGGCAAGCCAGTGTACGCTGCCCTGGGCTCCTTGGAAGAAGGGCAAAATAAGGGGGGGATGCTACAGCGGTAGGAAAGAGGATCTGTCACCCCGGGAGAAATCAAAGATGCTGCAGCCCCAGTTCAAACAAAGCTACAGACAGGAGGAGCTCTCTCGCCTCTTGGATGCCTTGCAAAGAAGAAGATATGCCTCGCAGGCTAACACCCCAGCACTTCTCTCCGCTGGAAAGGAGGGCATCGCTACTGGTCTTAGGACAGTAGTTTGTTACCAGTGTGCAGGCCGCTCCATCGCTTTACCATGGATCTAGTCTCAGTCCAATCGCACATCCACCCTGCCCAAGCCCCTCTCTTCATTTCATCCCCAGACCTGTATCCTTTGCTTCACTCTCTGTTGACCAAACGCCCTTTGACAACTTACCCAGCTGCCAGTCCTTGCTGAGAGCACAGGTGGAAATTTGTACTATGGGAATGAGTGCAGAGCAGAGCAGGAAACTCGGGCTGCTGCAGTTAACACGGAGGTGTATACATGCAAGCATGTGCCCACATGTGCTTATTTCTGCAGCCACTCTAGGAACCAGCCCTCTTTGGAATTAACTCTCAGGGAGTCTCAAGAGCAAGTATGATTTTCCATACCAGAGCTGCATTTGCCCTGGTTGCACAGAAGCATTAAATTCAGCTGTGTAAGGATCTGAGCTTTTATGTAAAACAGAACAAACTTCTAATTCTTACAGCTATGAAAAAATGCCCCCAAACAAGTAGGCAATACCTGATAAAAGAAGCCAGAACTGTAGCTGACACCATTTAAGACAAATCATCTGCTGTCTACAACTAATAATACTACTTACCATGTAGAAAAGCCAGGAGAACCTAAAATTGTCTGGCAGCTGTAGAATCATTGAGTTGGAAGGGTTCTCCAAGGTCATCTAGTCCAACCCCCTGCACAATGCAGGAAATTCACAAATACCTCCACTAGGTGGCACCACTAGGTGGTGAGCTAGACTTGTTTTTAAGGCAAGAGGCGTTTCAGAGGTGGTTTTGCCACTGCCTGTCTCTGCATCAGGGCCCTGGTATTCCTTGGAGGTCACCCTTCCAAATACTAGCCTGGGCCCACTCTGCTTAGCTTCTGGGATCTGACAAGATTCAGCTATCCATGTCAGGATCAATGCTCCCTCTAAGCTATGGAGTCTTGTGAGCAAAAATTCTACTTTGTGAGCTACTGGCATTAAAGTTGTGAGTGAGCTATTTGGCTGTTGCATTGAACTAGTTTGCTCTGGAGCCATCCTTCCTGAGCGAAGACAAAAATGTGTGAGCCGGAGGCTAAAAACCTGTGAGCTAGCTCACACTAACTCAGCTTAGAG